CACAGGGCAGTTCTCTGTCACAAGGGTTGCTGGGTCAGAATTGACCTGACAGCACCCGACAGGAATTCTCTCTTAAAAACTGAGACAAAGACCAGATTACTTTAGATAAAGTTAAATTTTCAAACCAGACTCCTAGTGTCCCCCCAAATCCACACCTTGAACTTCAAATGGGAACTCATTGGGAAGCAGGGTCTTTGCAGAAATCATTAATGGGGGACAGAGATGATGTCATGCTGGCCTAGGATGGGCTGTCCATCCAGTGACTGAAAAGGACACACAGGGACATACCCCAGGGACACAGGACATACAGGAACACACCACAGGGACACACAGGGACATATAGGGACACACCACAGGGACACATATAAGAAGGTCCTGTGAAGGCAGAGCAGAGACTGGAGTGATGCCGCCACAAGCCAGGGCCTAGAGCCACGGACAGCTGGAAGGAAGGAGCTGCCCTCGGGCCTTCAGCGGGACTGTGGCCCCTGCTCAAACCAGGGGAAGGGGCGACCCCACTGACACAGGAGACACAACACAGCTGGGGTTCCAGGGCCTCGCCCCGTCTGAATGCTTTTTGCACTTTCTCCACCTGCCCCCTCCCACCTGGCTCTCTGCTTCCTCCACCCAGCGCTTTGTCCCCCCTCTCTCTGGGTCTCCGTCCCCCTCTCTCTCTGGGTCTCTGTCCCCCTTCTCTCTGGTTCTCTGTCCCCTCCTCTCTCTGTGTCTCTGTCCTCCCCTCTCTCGGGGTCCCTGTCCCCTCTCTCTGGGTCTCTGTCCCCCTCTCCCTCTGGGTCTCTGTCCCCCTCTCTCTCTGGTTCTCTGTCCCCCTCTCTCTCTGGGTCTCTGTCCCCTCCTCTCTCTGGGTCTCTGTCCCCCTCTCCCTCTCTGGTACTCTGTCCCCCTCCCTCTCTGGTTCTCTGTCCTCCTCTCTCTCGGGATCTCTGTCGCATATACTCCCTTGCTTTCTGGGTCTCTGTCCTCCCAGCCCCCGGCCCTGACGCTGGCGCGGAGGTGGAATGTGGCCGGGGCAGAGCCACTGCTTCCTCCTGCCCCTCACTTCACCAGGTGCGACTCTTTGACAGGTCAGTGGCCAGTCACATCCCACCTGAGGACCCCGGGGCCTCAGCCCCTCCTGCCTGTTAGGTTTGGGAGCCATTAAGATTCTATTTCAAGTGTGCGTTCTGCCCCGCTTCATTGAGCCGGCAAGTTCCATTTCGGTGGAAAATCGCACTTTCTAGATTCCTGGCTTTCATTTCTTCTGTGCATTGAATCCCTCCCTTGATTCTCGGGGACCCATATTCATCCTTTTAACCAAAATTCCTCTCCCTTGGACCTTGGTGATAACTTACGTGCTTGAGACTACATCTCCCATAAGGCCATGGTGGTCAGACACTGGGACACAGTCAGGGGTGACCCACAAACTCCTCGGAAGTGTGGTTCAGATCTCTTTCCTCACTTCCTTCCAAACAAGTAAACGAAAAGCAATGTGGGAAAGTAGGTGTGGGAGGGGAGGGAGAACGGGCACCTGGCTTGCCAGAAGACACGATGGTGAAGGTCGTCTCGTGCCAAAGTCTGTGAACACCTGGATAGAAGATGGTGGGCCCACAGCGCCTTCCTCCCTCTAACTCATGAGTCCAGATCCTTCCTCCCTTAGACCAGGGTGTCTTGGTTCCCATTTCACTGCTCTCCTGGCACCCAAGTGTCCAGAAGTCCAGCTTTCTGGTACCTCAGGAACCAGAGTGTCATCCCAGTGCCATATCCACCCCCAAGATCTAAGCGTCCTTGCCCCTTGGTCTGAGGACCAAGCTGCCTCCCCATCCCTAGTGCTAAATGAACCCAGAAAACTACAACTCCCATGAGGCGTGGTCCAACAGTGTCACACACATAAACATCCCCTGCAGTGACCTGAAGAATCTAATTTCGTGATGCTAACATAAAGTTGTTGTTGTTGTTACGTGCCGTGGAGTTGGACCCAACTCATAGCGAGTGGGTTTCCAGGCAGTATCACTACGGAAGTAGATTGCCCCATCTTCCTTCCAAGGAGTGGCTGGTGGGCTTGAACCACCAGCCTACTGGTTAGCAGTCAAGTGCCTTAGGCACTACGCTACCAGAATTCCCCTAACATAAGGTAAGGCGTTGTTGTTGTTGTTGTTGTTATATGCCGTCGAGTTGGCCCCGACTCATAGCGACCCCTCCTTGGGTTTCCGAGGCAGTATCACTACGGAAGTAGGATTGCCCAACCTTCCTTCCGAGGAGTGGCTGGTGGGTTTGAACCGCCAGCCTTCTGGTTAGCAGTCAAGTGCCTTAGGCACTATGCTACCAGAGCCTATCCCATCAATAGAGTCGCTATGAGTGAGAATGGCAGTGGGTTTGGTTTTCTTTGGTTTGTCTTATCCGAGGGCATGAAGAATCCAGAGTCCCTGGGGACTGCAGTAGAGCAGAAAACTGCCCCAAAGGGCGGCCGGGACCTTCCCACAGTCTTATAGCAATGAGGGAGCTTCTGGGCTCACGGGGGCGAGGAATCAGGCCCCGTGTCTTCCCTCAGATATCACACACATGCTCACTCTCATCTTCCTCTTCCCAACTTTTTATTAACCCATGTAAGAAAACTGAAAAAATAAATACATAAATAACCCAATAAATAAAGAGAAGACCCAGCAAAAATCCACGGGTGGCTTTAAGAGGTGTAGCTGGGGCTGCGGCCCTGGGAGGGCCCCACCATGCTCAGTGGGTCCGAGGAGCCCACGTCGGGTGGCCCAGGGATCACAGGGGGCTCTGGGGCCGCTGGGAGCAGGCCCGGCAGTGGCAGGAAGCGGGCTGGTCCTCGGGAGGCTGGGTCCCCCATTGGGGAGTTGTGGGGGGGCAGGCGGACTGGAAGGCCATGGGCTTCCGACTGGTAAATGTTGTATCCATCTTCCAGAAGCAACTCCCGGAAGCTGCAGGCGGCTGGATCGAAATGGAGCTGGGGACAGAGAACAGGAATGACAGACCACATGAGCCTTCAACACCTTCCTGCTGCAGGACCCAGGAGTTCAGGCCCCAGCCTCTCTTCCCTCAGACCTGGGAGTTCCAGCCCCTCTAGGAAATAAAACCATAACAACAGGTTCCTCCTTCATCCTAGGGCAGTCCTACAAGACCCACAGCCCTCTCCCCACATCACAGAGAAAAGTGTCCCAGCCTAGGGCCCAGTCAGGGCCCCATGACCCTGGACAGAGGGTCTGGCTGCCACCCAAGGTCACAGTCACTTCATAGGCCATGGGGATCCTGAGTATTCCTGAGTCAGATAGGAACTAACACAGGAACCCGTGGGGTCAACAGCATGGTCACGAGTCACAAGACTCTCAGGCCACCGTGTCATTCACCCGCCTCATGGTTTGGTCCCACCTTCAGTGTCCTCGTCTCGCCAACACTGATCACAACGGTTTTCACCCTCCAGGTACCCATGATGGTGGGGTACACGGAGAGCCCACAACCCAGCCAGCGCTGGGCAGAGGCGCCAGGTGGGTCACCCCCAGTGGGACGGCGGTCTGTGGAGGAGGAGCCGCAACTCACCGACCCGTACAGCATCCCGTCAGAGCCCTGGCACAGGAACCGGGATGTCCTGACCCCCAAGATCTGAATGATGCCAGGCTTCAGGGCTTTCAGCTGCAGGAGACCTGAGCAAAGAGAGAGGACCTTTTCCAGCCCCTCCCTCAGAGCCAGGATGCTGCCCTCCCCAAACT